CCCACTTTTCTGTCTCTCTTCTTTCTGGCAAGTGCATATATGCCCTCTGGTAATTAAAAAACAGAAATGAAAACAAAACCCTATCATTATTTCCCAAAGATGCTTATGTTTTTTATAAACTGTTTGTTTTTTACCTTTTTGTTGTACAGGCTGTGGTGTAAGAGGTGAGCTTAGAAATCCATCTTGCTCAGAAACAGTTCTGCCATCTTCACTGTTCACCCCATGTGGCGACTGCACCTTCTGTTACCAAAGACAAAGGAACAAGTACACGGTAAATGCTACCTGTTTACAAGTCCCCTAACAAATTCGAATGTCTTATTTCATACCTCCCCCGCTGCTGCTCCCTTCCCAAGCAACTAAGCTGCTTTCCTTCATGAGATGCAAAAGGGTCACAGCAGGGTAAGACCTCTGGGCCCTCAGGAAAGCCCAGCTGCAAAGCCAAGGCCATCTGAACTGTGCTTAGGCCCTGGGCAGCTCCCTATCAGAGCTGTGCTGTCTGGGTAGCTTCCCTTCCTCACTCCTGCCAGGGACAAACCAGGTCAGGGGCTGCCATGGACCCTCTCTGCACAATACCACCTCCTCCAGTACTGACACTGTGTGAGGTCACCATAAATGTTTCCTGATGGAATGGAACCCTCCCCTCCACTGTGGCAACATGAATGGTGGCAGGGCCACAGAGCTGACCCCTAGAGAGCTATGGGTCAAGAATGTGACATCACCTGACAAGAAGGAGATGTTCCCACTGGCAAAGCTCTAGGTGATGGGGACAGAGGATGCCCAAGGGGAAGCACAGAGAAGCGTGTCCATAGGGTAGTTCGTGCAGGGCACTCTCTGGATTGGCTTCTCTTATGCTATCCTGGTTCTTTCTGTGGGGGTCAGCTTGGCTTAGCTGTGCTGCACTGTGAAAAATGGAAGAGCTGTCTCCAAAGCTGACAAGGAGATGGTGGTGGCCACTGGCAAGTGGCATTTCAGAACCAGCACTAAGGCCACTAAGACCAGCAAGGTCTGTGTACATGACCCCAGGTAACCTAGGTCAAGAGGAGAAGACAGTTCCCCTAATCCACTCACCATTTGGGGAAGAAAACAGAAATGTCCTCTTGCTTAAGAACAAACTGTCTCGCTCACCTTGTCACGGATATACTAAGCTACTCACTATTTTCAAGGAAACATGAAAGCAAGAGGAAGACTCAAATAGTACCATGAAGATACCCTACAAAGCAAACTGTCCAGTAGTACCCACTAACACTAAAGCAGATGGTACATACGCTCTGTGATCATCCGTGTACCGCTCCTCGGTGTACCCCCCCAGAAATACACACACATACATCAAAGGGCACAGCTACCAACGTTCACAGAAGCACCATTCCTATGAGCCCCAAACTGGAAACTACCCAATATCCACCAACAGCAAAATGAGTAAATAACTGAATGGCAAAGTTATATCACTCAACACACAGCAGAGAAGGAACCAATTACTGCTACACACAGTAACAGAAGACTCCCCATAATGCCAAAGAATATATACTTTATGATTAAATTCTCATGATTTTCACAATAGGCAAAAATAATTCAAGTTTTCTTTTTAAATTCATAACATAGTACATGTACAACACATGAAGGGGTGGGGAGAAAAACACCATCCCCAGGGCTCAGTCCTGCTGCCATCCCCTTCCTTCCGCCCTCCAGCCAGCCAGGATCCTGGGCACTTGCACAGGCCCCACATGTTTTCCGGCCAATCTGGACAGAAATTCAAATCCTGGTTGGCACATGGCTTCCAGCTCCACAGTCTGGTAGGCTGCCAACTGCACCATGAAGGTTGGGTGAGATTATTTTTAGAGATCTGATCTCAGAGTTGGGACGGTGGTTAACTCTGGGGGAAGTGGTGACTGAGAAAAGGAGGGGGGCTTGAAGGTACTAGTAATGTTCTTTTATTCTTTCAGAATCTGAGTGGTGGCACACGCCGGGGGTGTGTATGTCTGTATGTGTATCCAAAATCTCTAAAGGAGGGAGAAATGAAGAGGGGATTATGGCATGACCATTACCCCTGGAGGGTGCTTTCTCTTCTCCCTCTCTGTCTCTCTCTCTCTCTGGCAAAAACACACATCCTCTGGTGGAAAAAAAAAAAAAAAGAAAGAAAATCTGGGTGGTGGATACTTTTGTGAAAATTTATTGAGTTGTGCACTTACAATTCATATAATTTTGTGTGTATTTAATGTAGGCAAAAGTAAGCCTACTAAAAATGTTATCTTTATTTTAAAATTTCAAAATTATTCCATAACATTTTGCTTGTGAAAATTCCCTTTGGTAACTAAAACAAAATTTGGTTGGGCATTGAAGGGAGGCAAGGAAGAAAGGTCTGGCCCCACTAGCCACCAACATTAACAGAGCAAAAAGCATCTCTTCTGTCTACCGCTCTTGGCATATGCTTCATCCTCTTGCTGGGTAGGACACTAGCTTAGATTTAAAAGAATAAATAAATAAGGAGATTGCTCCTGAAGACAGGAGGATGACTGGCATCAGAAGGATAGGGCTCCAGAGAGGGCTTTTGAATGGGTATTCATGTACAATTTGTCACAGAAAGGAATTTTTTATTTTTTGAGAGGTTTTTGCTATAGGGCATGTGTGCTTGCCAGAAAGATAGAGAGAAACAGAGAGACAAAAAAGCAAGAAATCACCCCCCAAGAGGGACGGCCATGCTGCAATCCCCTCTTCTCCACTCTCTATAGCAAAACAAACAAACAAATGTAATCTAATACAGTCAATGAAACCAATATTAATATCATCAATATAAATATAGCTTTATGCTAAGTCTCTAAACACTGTGATTAACACAAAGTATGGAGATGATAAAAACAATTAAAAAGAGACAGAGAGAAGGGAAAAAGAGAGTATGGCGCTATCATTTGTCCCGAAAGAAGTGGCGCTGTCCAGTTTCCAAAGCCTGGGAGCATAGTTCAAAAACCAAGAATCGTAGGCCACCTGGCCGTGGAGAAGAAGTGTGCTCCTTCGGCCTCTCTGTACCTTGGTTCCCCATGTCTGACAGGGCAAGGAATGGATGCCCTCAAAGAGCTAGCAGAAGGGCAGCGAAGATAAACGGACGTAAGAGCTACCAGAGATGTATACATGGTGAGCACTCAAAGGATGTCAGCTACTGTCGAGAGACGTGACGATGTTTTTTTTGGAAAGGTTTTTGCTATAGGGCGCGTGCGCTTGCCAGAAAGACAGAGAGAGACAGAGAGACAGAAAGCGAGAAATCACCCTCCCGGGGGGATGGCCACACCGCAATCCCTTCTCCTCCATTCTCCTCTCGGGATCTTGGGTACGCACACATGCCCCCGGCCTAATTTTAAGCCACTGGGTCCAGGACTCGAACCACAGTCAACTACATGGGAGTTCAGCAACATAGCCATTACGCTACCTGCCGGTCCCGAGGCTGGAAATATTTTAAAAGCCGCAAAGCAATAGCTATGAAGGCAGAATGGAGAAAAGAAAATCTTTACTAAGGCACTCTACATGATTTCTCGATTTACCGTAGTTAACATCAAGGTGACTATCAAGAAGAAACTCAGGAACATGAAGATCACCTGATCTCTGTGTGGCACAGTGTACTCGGCATCACTGCGACCTCCCTCTTCTTTCTGGACACTGACATCCCCCAAGTTCTCAGAGCTGGATGACGTCTGCGTTTCAGCATCCTCTTCTTCCCCATAGCCCAACGTTTCAAAGGATGGTAAAGAAGTCCTCCTTCCCGTCTCACTCTGCCAATTTGATCTGGATTAGAAGAGTAAAGAGTAAAATAGCTTCCTTTTGGCCAGAACTGCCATCTTCCAGTAATTAACCAAGATGACAAAGAGACAGGGGAGAGGCACCTGATATATGTTCCCTAGGCCTTTTAGAAAACACGGAGTTGTTCCTTTGGCAACATATATGGGAATCTATAGGAAAGGCGATATTGTAGACATCAGGGGAATGGGTACTGTTCAAAGAGGAATGCCCCACAGATGCTACCATGGCAAAACTGGAAGAGTCTACACTGTTACCCAGCATGCTGTTGGCATTGTTGTAAACAAACAAGTTAAGGGCAAGATTCTTGCCAAGAGGATTAATGTGCATATTGAGAATATTAAGCATTCTAAGAGCAGAGAGAGCTTCCTAAAATGTGTGAAGGAAATGACCAGAAAAAGAAGGAAGCCAAAGAGAAGGTTACCTAGGTTCAACTAAGGCCAGCCTGCTCCACCCAGAGAAGCACACTTTGTGAGAACCAATGGAAAGGAGCCTGAGCTACTGGAACCTATTCCCTATGAATTCATGGCATGACGGGTGTTAAAAATAAACTAATCAATGGTCTATAAAAATATGTGCCTTAACTGAGTAGAACTGTGTTCCCTCCCCAAAGCTAATTTTAATTGGGATTTAATTCATTTTGTGATATCTTTATTCAAATTTAGTATTTTTAACCTGAAAGATGTTAGGTGGCTTATGATGCAACAAATAAAACTCAGATGGTCAGAAAACTACCAAATAGGGAACCAGCAGTTAGTGTAATGGCTATGTCGCTGGACTCCCACGTAGTCGACCGCGGTTCGTGTCCCGGACCCGGTGGCTTAAAACTCACGCCGGGCGCGTGTGCGTGCGTGCCCAAGATCCCGAGAGGAGAATGGAGGAGAAGGGATTGCGGCGTGACCATCCCCCCTGGGGGGTGATTTCTCGCTTTCTGTCTCTATGTCTCTCTCTGTCTGTCTGGCGAGCGCACGCGCCCTACAGTGAAAATCTCTCAAAAAAAAAAAAAAAAAGAAAACTACCAAATAAAAAAACTGCCACTTAACGCCTGACATTGAAAGGATACACATGTATTAAATGTACCACCCCCAAGCCTCCCACAGAAGTATTTAATACATTACAAAATAAATGTATTGGGTCATTACAAAAGTCATGTTGCAATTTTTGCATAGGAAAATACGTCATGACTTTTTCAATGACTTAATATTTGTAATGTCAAATGCAGCCAAAAGATTAAACCATTCATTATCCCATCTCTTTGTAGACTCTCACCATTTCCTTTTATTTTCTTCAGTTTTTACATTTGTCACCATATAAACACACAATTTGCTTTATCAATAAGTTATGTATTTTTTATTTACACCTAATTGGTGTACAACTGTATAGCATCCTAACAATAAGATACATTTAATAAGTATATATTTATAATGTAAATAAAATAAGTATGTATTTATAGTAAAATTCTTATATTTTAAAAAATTATTATTTATTTCATTTTATTAATTTTTCTTTTTTTAATTTGCTATGGGGCACATATGCTCACCAGAGAGAGAGAGAAAAAGAGAAAGTGAAAAAGCAAGCCACCAGATCTGGGACCTGAACCATCATTGGCCATGTGGGAGTCCAGAGCCTTAATTACCATGCCACCTGCTGGCCCCAACTTCTTGTAGTTTTCAGAGGTTTTTGCCATAGGACGCTTGCATTTGCCAGAAAGAGACAGAGGCAATGAGAGGGAAAGTAAGAAATCATCACACAGCCATGCCGCAATCCCTCCTCCTGCAGGGATCTTGGGCATGCATGCACATGTGTCCTCCATGATTTTCAAGCCACTAGGTCTGGGACTCGAACTGCAGTCGGCCATGTGGGAGTCCAGTGACATGACCACTCTGTATCTGCTGGCCTCTATAATAAACTTTTCTTAAAAAAATAATTATTTATTTAGTTTTATTTATTCACTCATTTATTTTAATTTGACTAGAGAGAGACAGAGATAGAGAGTGTGGAAAAGTGAGAAAGCAAGCCACCAGGTCCAGGACTCAAACTGTGATCAGCCACGTGAGTGTCCAGCGCCTTAACCACCCTGCCAAGTAGGAATCAAGAATGACCTGCTGGCATGGTAGACACTGGACTCCCACTTGGCTGACCATGGTTCAAGCCCCAACCTAGTGGCTTGCGTTCTTACTTTCCCTCTCTCTCTCTCTCTCTCTCTCTCTGTCTCTACTGGTGAGCACATGTGCCCCAGAGCAAAGTTAAAAAAATAATAATAATCAATAAGGAATTAATTTTTAAAAATTGTTTAATATAGGAATCAAATAGATATCAATTTAGTCAATCAATCACCTTGTGTAGAAGGGGTTTTCTCTCATTTTCACTGTGATAAATAACTCGGTGATGAACATCTGTGTGTGAATAACCATTTTTGTGTTTAGAATTAGTCCTATAAAACAAGTCACCATTCTGTAAATGGCTGAGACAAATGGTATGAGCATAACCCTATTGAACTATGCATAGATTTCAGTATTTTTTGCACCAAGATAAACTTGTACTTAATTTCCATTTTTCCACATACTTCCTGAAATCCCTTTGTGTATGTTCTTAGGAAGTCATACAGCGGAGTCAGAAAGGTGAGCTTCAGAAATGGATAGAGCTGGGCTGAATCAGACTCTGCAAATGCTGGCTGTACAATCCCAGCTCAATTATCGAACCTTCGTAAACCTTGTCACTACCTCACTGCAGTCCTCACGGACACAGACATCTTCCTTCAGTTGCTCACATGTGTTCCTTCTTCCCAGGCTGCAAAGCTTACCCCAGCCCCACTCCCAACCTTCAGCTATTCCTAGCTGACTTCTGTCTATGCCTAAGCTCTCCCCTCAACTCTCTCTTCCTCAGAAGGAAAACTTCCTGACCTCCTAGCCTGGTATCAGCTCAAACCCAGCTCAAGTGAAAAAGATGGTGAAGAAGGAAACATGTACTCCAGGTGCCGAGAAAGATACAATGAGCACGCCTGTTCAGAGGACAGATATATGAGTGACAGTTCTCGCTATTTGGGTCGTAGCACAGAGAATCCTGCTAACGGCCGAAAGCAATACTGAATTCATCGGCTCTGTGCTGCCACATTTAATAAGAGTCACTCTGAAGAAAATTCTGATCCTAGAGCAATTAATACCCCTGGACAGTGTCCCTTGAGAAACCTGACAATAAAACTCTAGTCATAGGGGCCGAGAGGTGGCATGCTGGTTAAGGCGCTGGACTCACACATGGCCAACTGCGGTTCGAGTCCCAGACCTGGTGCCTTGCTTGCTTTCTCACTTTCCCTCTCTCAGTCTCTCTAGTAGAATGGAAAAACAAATACTAATGATGAATAAAATTAAATAAAATAATTTAAAAGAAAAAGACTGTAGCCATAAACACATGCACCTGAGTACACACATAAAGACATGCTGAGCTGCCCGAAGGGGAAGCAGAGCTAGCGAGATGATTCCTACCGAAGTCTCAGGGCCATGGTGGTGGCATAGGGCTCAATGAAACTGTCCTTTTCAACGCAGCTTATGTCACTCTCTGACCGGGATCTCTGGCGAGGCTGAGGAATGGCCACGGTCTGCCCAGTCAACGTTGTCGCCAGAATGGCTGCAGCCAAGGCAGACCTACAGACAAACACATCCCGCGGAGACAAAGAGACATGAATGTTCAAGCTGAAAACATAACACATGAATTGACCAAGGGTTCCTTTTGTTGTACAATATTTACTGAGCATTTACTGACTACGGGTCCATGGTCTACTATGTCCCAATAGTACGAAGAGATACTGTCATCCCCTTTTTCATAGAAATTAAATGACTTGGGGACCAGCAGGTGGTGTGGTGGTTAAGGCACTGGACACTCCCACATGGCTGACATGGTTCAAGCCCCAGACCTGGAGGCTTGCTTTCTCACTCCTCCTCCCCTCTCTGTGTCTTTCTGTGTCAAATTAAAAAAAAAAAAAAATTAAATGACTTGTAAAAATTTTCTAGCCAATAGGAGGTAAAACCAACCTCTAATTCAGGACGTCAGACCTGAAAGCCTTTATTCTTTTTTCCTTCATGAGACAGCATGCACAGGAGAGCACACATATGCACATGTCAAAGAGACAGAGATACCTTCCACAGGGTGTCCTCACACTGTGACCCCCTCCCTCAGTCACTCAGCTAGTCAGGATCCTGGGTGTGCACCTGGTGTGTTTCAGGTCGACTCAGGATGGCCGTGTGGCTTCCAGCTCTACAGATCAGTACACGACCATCTGCACCACCAAAGCTGGGCTCCTGAAAGCCTCTATTCAAGCAGTTTTCTTATTAAAATGAAAGATCAGATTAGAAAAAACAGAGAGAGAAAGAAATTAAAAAGAGCATTAAAAAATATTTGTAAAGTATTCAAAAATATATTATAGGAAAGATAAGAGTAATAGATTTACCCTCCTACCTTAAAAAGCAAAATGAAAGAAAACAAAACAGACTGCTCCAGCTCACAGCCTGGACCTTTTTTTTTTTTTTCCTTTTTAAGAGATTTTTGCCTTAGGGTGTGTGTACTTGGCATAGAGAGAGAGAGGTAGGATGTGTGTGCTCTGCATAATAAGAGAGAGCGAGAGAGACAGAGACAGGGAGAGGAAACGTAAGAAATCAGCCCCCAGTAGTGGATGGCCAAGCAGCAATCCCTTCTTCTCCGCTCTCCTCCTAGGATCTTGGACGCACAGGCATCAGGCGTGATTTTCAAGCCACCAGGTCCAGGACCTAAACCGCAGTCAGCCACGTGGGAGTCCAGTAATGTAACCGCTATGCCACCTGCTGGCCCTGCCTGGGCCATATTTAGGTCACAGCACAGGGAGGAGGAACCACAGTGGAGTCAGGTACACTCCTGGAGTGTGCGGAAGGAGCTGAGTGTCCAGGGACATCATGGCAGAAAAAAAAATGTGCAAGACAGAGTACAAGAAAGGTGAGAGTGCACCGGGAACCCCAGAGATGTGCAGAAGCCCCCCCCCCCACCGCTCAGGAGAGCACTCCTCGGACAGAGTACAAGAAAGGTGAGAGTGCACCGGGAACCCCAGAGATGTGCAGAAACCCCCCCCCCCACCCCGTGTTCAGGAGAGCACTCCTCGGCGAGGAATCGTCAGAGGTTGGAGAAATAACCATCCAAAAGGGTTAGAGGAGCAGTACCAGGTGCTTCCACGGGGCTGGGGCCAGCACCTGTTCCCACCAGACAGACTGGAAAAATTCATTCACTGCACATCGAGTTCAGGCCTCAGAAAGGGCTGACCTCAGTAGTGAGCCCTAGTGGAGTACGGCTACAGAGCTCACCTAACAAATCACAAAAGCAAGACTAGGAAGAACAAACTTTCAAGTAATGTATCTGCACCCCAAAAATAAAGACCATGAAGATTTAGAGAAATATAAAAATGTCCAATACTCGGGCCAGCCCTGGTGTCTAGTAGGGCTAACCATGGCTTGAATCCCAGATCCTGGTGGCCAGAAAAATACTCTAGGCATGTGTAACCAAAATTCTGACAGGATGAAGAAATGGAAGAGAAGGGATTATGGCATGACCATGTCACATTGGGGGGTTCTCTCTGTCTCTGGAGAATGCACTGCGAGAACCTGTGGCCCCAATCAAAAACAACAGGCCTTGCTTACAGGGTTGTTGAAAAAAAAATGAAATGAAGCAGTACTTCCTAAGAAATAACTAGAGGGCCAGCAGGTGGCACTGTGGTTAAGGTGCTGGGCTCCCACAGGGCTGACCACAGTTCGAGTCCTGAACCTGGCAGCTTGAAAATTATGCTGGGTATATGTACATGCATGCCCAAAATTAATGAAGGAGAAGGGACTGCAGTGAGGTCATCCCTCCTGGGAAGTGATCTCTCACTTTCCATCTCACTGGCTCTCTCCAGCAAGTTAACACACCCTATGCCAAAAATCTTGAAAAGAGAAACTGATTATTTCAGTTACTTTAAGTACTTAGCAGAGTACTTGGCACAAAACAAACATTACTAAGTGGCTATTCTTGTTATCCAGCTTGCACTGAAGGGAAAAACAAACACTAGAAATATTTCACAGTGTTTTTTATCAAGAGGCATATGACAATCTAGTATCAAAGGCCACTAAAAAGAAGGCGCCAGGCCGGACGGTGGTGCAGCGGTAATGCAATTGGACTCACGTGAGAAGGTCCTGAGTTCACATCCCAGGGCATCCCTGTACATGCCTGGGGTACGTGTGCACCTGTGATCTGGGCTAGCTGGGGTGGGCTGAGGTATGAAGACACTGTTTGAAGGTGACTGTCGCTCTCATGGAAGAAATAAATAAACAACCATGAAAAAAAAAAGAAGGTGCCATCCTTGTATGAAATTAGTTCTCATGCACTGCTAGTAACCAAATGAATAAATTTTATGGATTAAAAATATTCTCTAGGCCAGCACTTTAGCCTAGTGGCCAAGGGAAAATGATTGACTAGAATCTTGGTCTGAATCCCAGCCCCCATGGTTTGTAAAACATGTTAGGCAGGTATGTGTACATGCTCCAAATCCCGACAGGATGGAAAAATGGAGTAGGAATTATACATGCCCCCTGGGGGTGCTTTCTGCCTCTGGTGAGCACACATGCCTTCCAGCAATTAAAAAAAGTCTGGGGTAGGGAACCAGCAGTTAGCGTAATGGCTATGTCGCTGGACTCCCACGTAGTCGACCGCGGTTCGCGTCCTGGACCCGGTGGCTTAAAACTCACACCAGGCGCATGTGCGTGCGTGCGTGCCCAAGATCCCGAGAGGAGAACGGAGGAGAAGGGATTGCGGCGTGACCATCCCCCCTGGGGGGTGATTTCTGTCTCTCTGTCTCTCTCTGTCTGGCGAGTGCATACGCCCTACAGTGAAAAAAAAAAAACTCAAAAAAAAAAAAAGTCTGGGGAGGGGGGCCGGCAGGTGGCATGGTGGTTAAGGGCACTGGACTCTGGACTCCCACATGGCTGACTGTGGTTCGAGTCCCAGGCCTGGCAGCTTGCTCTCTCATAGTCTTTCTCTCTCACTCTCACTCAGTCCCTTTCTGGTCAAATTAAAATAAATAAAGTAAATAAAATTAAAAAAAAAAATTCTGGGGACCAGTAGATGGCATAATGGTTACATTGCTGAACTCCCACATAGTTGACCATGGTTTGAGTCCCAGACCTGGTGGCTTAAAACTCACGACAGGCACGTATGAGTGCGTGCCCAAAATCCCTAGAGGAGAATGGAGAAGGGATTGAGGTGTGGCCATCTCCCCAGGGGGTGATTTTTTGCTATCTCTCTGTCTCTCTGGCGAGTGCATATACCCTATAGCAAAAATCTCTCTAAAAAAAAAAAAATAGTCTGACATTCTCCTGCATCTAGTACCTTAGAGGGTACAGGAAGGGGTCTCTCAGGCTACACAGAAATAAGACAGTCAGCTATTCAGAGCAGTGCAGGATGGGGAATCAGGCTGACAGTGAACATCTTCCTATCTTCCTTCCTTCCTTCCTTCCTTTCCTCCTTCCTTCCCTCCTTCCTTCCTTCCTTCCCACAAAGTCATTTTTTTTTTCTTGGAGAGAGACGCGTGTGCTTGCCAGAAAGACACAGAGAGACAGAAAGCAAGAAATCATCCCCCCAGGGGGGGGGCGGGGGATGGCCACGCCGCAATCCCTTCTCCTCCATTCTCCTCTTGGGATCTTGGGCACGCACGCACACACGCCTTGCATGAGTTTAAGCCGCCAGGTCCAGGGCTAGAACCACAGTTGACTACATGGGAGTCTAGTGATGTAGCCATTATGCCATTTTTTTTTAAGAGGTAGACTTTTGTGTTTAAAACAAAACAAAAACAAAAACTGTGCACAAATCAAAATTACCTTTAATGTGCTATTAACCTGAACAGTCAGACTTTAATGCTTTTTATTTTAAAAAATTTAAGAGGTCTTCAACCATTCATGAAAAATGTATATTATAAAAAAAAACTATGCATGGATTTCAAAATATTTTTGCACCAAAAAAAAAAAAAAAAACAAAAAAAGCCCACACAGCTCCAATTCCATTTTCCCACAAATTTACTGAAGTCCCCTTGCACTACCTGCATTCAATCATGAAATATGGCAACTCCACATATTTGAAAGGGATAATCCCAAGTAAATCCAGCATCTACCAGAAAAATCACATTGAGTACCTCATTATGGGACCATGATAAATATTTCCAAGGACATGATTCTAACTGCTCTACTGTGGTTCTCCGGTTTGTTTGAACAGCTCCGGGACACCGTACCTGTCAGCTGAGCACTGAGGTGACCTCAGCACCTGCCCATTTGAGTCTCACCTGGGTCTCTCTGGAGAGGGGTTGGGGCTGCGGGGAGGAGGCGTGCGGGGCACAGCTGGTTTCGGAGCGATGCTGGCCGCAGGGAGAAGGCCAGGGATGATGTGTTTCTGCACAAATGAAATCCAGTAGAGGTCACTGAGATAGGTCACGTCATCACCACCCCTCTCCCAGGCTTTGGGGTGGGGGTGGGGTGGGGGGAATACCTGGCTGCCCAGGAATCCAGCCCCGCCAAGGGTCCTATTCCACCCCTCCCCTCCACTCCCTATCCAGCCAGGCAAGCTCACCCACCCTGAGAACATCACCATTGTTGCCTACCCTGGCGCCTTCTCATTCTTCTCTACTCAAGTGGCTTCCTCACCTACCCCCAGAGTCACCAGAGCCCCTCAGTGTCTCACAGCTCTGTCTCTCACCTAAGTGATGTCTTAGGTGACTCCCCCTGCAGTGCAGGGCAACTTCCCCAAAGTAGGCAACTAACTTTTTTTGGTTTGAATCCTGACCCTGGGGCTAGAAAAACACCAGGCTTGTGTGCCGAAAATCCAGGCAGGATAGAGAAACGGAAAAGGGTCTGGAGTATAACCACACCTCACTAAGGGTGCTTTCTTCCCCCCACCCCCTTCGGTCTTCCCCTCTGTCTCTAACAGAACACATGTGCCCTCTGACAATTTTTTTTTGGAGATATTTTTGCTATAGGGCGTGTGCACTGGCCAGAAAGAGAGAGACAGAAAGTGAGAAATCACTCCCCAGGGGGGATGGCCATGCCACAATCCCTTCTCCTCCATTCTCCTCTCGGGATCTTGGGCACACACGCACACACCCGCCCGGCGTGAGTTTAAGCCATGAGGTCCGGGACTCGAACCGCGGTCAACTACATGGGAATCCAGCGACATAGCCATTATGCTAACTGCTGGTCCCGGTCCCTGACAATTAAAAATAAATAAATAAATAACAGAGTTCAGGAGCCCTTATCATGATGCTTTTTCTGCACTTGAAGTATTCAATTTATGGAGAATCACATGAGAGGAGGGTTGGGGGTTTTCCGGGCAAGTATGACAAGAGAGACAGGAGCAAAAGGGGTTGAGGGTCAGTGGAATTAAAGTTGGAAAAGATGGCAGTGAGGATAAGAGGAATCAAACAGTTAAAAGTTGGGAGGATCAGCTCCAGTCTCTGTAACCACAGATGTGAGCATCACCATTTGAAAGGCTGGAAGCTGCACTGGGGGCCCAAGTTCAGTTCCCCTACCAACCTGAACATGCTGGGCATGGCTGCCTGCACCTGTGGTCCTGGCTAATTGGGAGGCAGGGTGGAAAGATTATGATCCTGTCAGTGAGACTTACCTCGCGCTGTCTGTGTGTCTCTCTCGCACAAAGGAAAAAAGAAAACGGGTATGATCAATACAGATGTGAGCATCACCATTTGAAAGGCTGGAAGCTGCACTGGGGGCCCAAGTTCAGTTCCCCTACCAACCTGAACATGCTGGGCATGGCTGCCTGCACCTGTGGTCCTGGCTAATTGGGAGGCAGGGTGGAAAGATTATGATCCTGTCAGTGAGACTTACCTCGCGCTGTCTGTCTCTCTCGCACAAAGGAAAAAAGAAAACGGGTATGATCAATAGATGAAAAGGGTAGGGACAAGATGTCAATGGATTGTGGGGAGTCAAGGTGCTAGAGGAAGTGAGCAGGAAACACAGGAGGGGTGGTCAGAGACTGGGACTGGGAGTATTAGCAGAGTGACAGAGTAGCCACGGGAAGACCTGAAGGGAGAATTCTATGCAGCAGGAGAAGAAAAGGTGAAGGCCTGAATGAAGGCCAGCGTGGCTGGATGGAGACTGGGAGGTGGGGAGGGACCCCAAGTTCTCCCGCGGCTGGGCAGTGGCTTGGTCAGATTTGCATTTTAAAAGACTCCCTTTGGCTGCTGCACGGAGAACAGACCTAGGGGAAGGGCAGAGCTGCTGCAGTAGTCCAGGTGGACACTTCGGCCGGAGGGGAGGGCGTGCAGAGAGTTTTAGTAAGACCCACTGATGGAGTGTAGGGGTGAGTGGCCGAGGGCGGGATCAAGAATGACCCCCCTACTCGGGACAGCCAGCAGTGGAGCAGGTTCGTGGCAGGTAGACGTCTGCAGGGGAGACGGAGTGATTCCTATCCCCCTGCGGCCAGCCCTGGGGAACACGAAAATTCAGTACTTCTCGAGCTGATAACCACTTCCTCTTGTGCAGCTGCCTTGTCTCATTCTCAAACCAAGTCCCAAACCCGCCCCAACCCCTCACCCCGGGCCCTCGAGGCCTACGACAAGCCGGCAAGGATCTACTTACGAACTGGTTCCTGCGGCCCCGGAGTCCCAGGAGCATCTTTGCTGCGGGAGGTGGACAGGCCAGGGGCGACTGAGGAGCAAATCTCACCACGGCGGGGTAAAGCCGGTCTTCCCCCCCCCCGCCGAGCCCCAGACACTATTCAAGGCCTTCAAAACATCCACCACTGCCTTTGGCTCTGTTTTCCCCTCGACCAATCAGCGCCGAGGTTACTTTTACACCCGTCGCTCTTGGCAACCAGTCGGTCCCATTCAAATACTCACCAATGCGGAAACGGCTCACGCTGTCGGCTTTTTGATTGGTCAACTCAGGTGCCCATCGCCGACCCCACAACCTATCCCGCGCTTGGAGGGGCGGAGAGCGGGCCGGATGAAACGCTGGGCCAGCGAGGCGAGTGTGGGCCCGGAAATGGCGCGACGGCCAGCACTGACCACCGGAACCTGGAGCAGAGGTGGACTGTCTCTACCAGGCTGGTGTTAAGGACCAACGGCGCGAACTGAGCAGGGCTGGCAGGGGCTAGGCAGGTGACGAAAATGAGAGACGCAGCCTCGACGACAGGAATCTTCTGGCTCTTAGACTTCGGCAAGCGATTCAGTCCTTGAAAGAAAACTCGGGAGACTGGATCCAGCCAAAGAAGCCCGGGTTCGAATGTAGGGCGGCGTCCGCGAGAGCCTGCCCAAGTACCGGCGTGCGCTTCCCTGGTTTGGTCCAAACCGCCGATGGAAAGGAACACCCCTTGCACAGGCCCGGTGCACGTGCCTTTGGGCCATGTTGTGGCCAGTGAGAAATGGCGGGGGTCGCAGCTGGCGCAGGAGTTGCAAGGTCAGGAGGCTACCCTCTGCAGCAGCCTTTCCCAACCCCACAGATTAAGAAACAAAGAAAGGAAAAGTCTGCCTGTTGCCGCCTTTACATCCAAAGCTCACAAAACTCATTTTCTTGTCTGTATTTTAAGGGAAAGTTAAGCTCGTTTTTGAGGATGGCCTGACACCAGTCGATTTTTACCTGTCGAACAGATCCTGCATTCTTTATATCACCGAAGCTGATTTGGTGGCAGGAAGTGGTTACAGAAAGAGGCTTGTTCGGGTTAGAAATGTAAGTGCTGGCATGGTGGTTAAGGCACTGGACTCTTCCCAGTCCCAGACCTGGCAGCTTGCTTTCTCACTATCCCTCTCTGCTCAAATTGAATAATTATGACAAATATAATTACATAAGTAGTTCTTTTAAAAAAGAAATGTAAGTGCTAAATTAAAGCAACTGAACATTGCCTTGTATTCTCCTCTCCCTCCATTCCTTGGAATCATTTATAATAAAACCATTGGCATGCCCTTTCTCAACCTTAAAAAGACTTTTATTATTAAATGGTTTACTGTTGTTTTCTTTTTCTTTCAAGTCCAATAACCTTCAAGGAATTGTAGTAGTTGAAAAAACACGAATGAGTGAGCAGTACTTCTCAGCCATCCAGAAGTTTACTGTGCTAGACCTGGGGATGGTGTTGCTTCCAGTGGCCAGCCAGATGGAAGCATCCTGCCTCATTGTCCAGTTGGTAAGTACCGATTCCTACCCCTTCATGGTAGCCCTGTGCAGACTCACCTGACTTTGATGGATCCTTATTCTAATAGCTGTCCTTGCTATAGTTGCAACTCATAATCTAAGCAATGTCATTTTTTGTGTTGATTTATAAATACTTTTTTTGATGAAAATCCATACCTTTGTAGCCAGCTGAGCTTGCTACCCCTTGTAGGCAAGTGTGTCAAAGAGAACCAATTGGAGATCTGATTTTAGACCCCTACGTTATAAAGACTTGGTCATTTTCCTGCACTTAGGCTGGCGAAATTGTCAGCTAGCAGCTGTTTTAACTTTTGTTCAACATCAGCACTTCTGTGTTTATAATGTTTATTTACAAAAAAAAAAGGAAAATGAAATGCTGGTTCTGCATGCTCCTCACTGATTTTTCAACTTGATTGTACGTGAGAATTTCTGGAGAACTTATAGAAGTAGTAAAACATGGGCCAGTTGGATCCCACATGGTCAGCCACATGGTCTGAGTTCCAGACCCTGCAGCTTGAAAACCATACAGGGCATGTGTACGTGCATGCCCCAGATTCCTAGAAGATAGGCCAACAGATGAGTGGTGGTTAAGGTGCATGATTGACCGTGGTTGGAGCCTAGGACTTGACGACTCAAAATCACTCTGGACGTGTGTGTGCCCGTGCAAAAAGTCCTAAGAGGAGAACAGAGGAGAACAGATTGTGGGTAGCCATTCCCCCAGGGGAGTGATTTCTCACTTTCCCTCTCACTGTCATCTGGCAAGCACACAACACCCTATGACAAAAGCCTTAAAAAAGAAAAAGAAGAAAAATTCCAAGAGGAGAATAGAAGGGATTATAGCATAGCCATCCCTTGGGGAGTGATTTCTCTTTCTTTCTCTTTCTCCCTCTTTCACTGTCTTTCTCTGGCCAGTTCATGCACCATATAGCAAACTAAAACATAAATATAATAATAATAATAATAATAGTAATGCAGGGACTGGCAGGTGGCCTGGTGGTTAAGGCCAACCCCAGTTTGAGTCCTAAACCTGGCGACTTGCGTTCTCACTTTCCCTCTCTCTCACTCTGTCCCTCTCTGGTCAATTTAAAAATAAATAAATAAAGTTAAATAAAGTAATTCTTTAATAAAAAATAGTAATACATGAACCTTACCTCCAGCCAATTAACAATCAGAACATAGGGTAGGTAGGACTTGAACATGAATTTTGTCTGTGTTTTTATTTATTTATTTAATTTCATTTGTTATTATTATTTTTTAATTTGACCAGAGAGAGAGAGAAAAGAAAAGTGAGAAAACACGCTGCCAGGTCCGGGACTAGAACCACAGTCAGCCATGTTGGATTCCAGTGCCCTTAACTGCCCTGGCACTTGCTGGCCCCTGTGTGTGTTGTTTTTATGGCAGATGGCATGAAGGTTAGATCACTGGACTCCCACACGGCCGACCATGGTTTGAGTCCTGGACCTGCACATGTGCATGCATGCCCAGATTCCTGAAAGGAGAACAGGGGAGAAGGGATTGCTGTGGTGGCCATTGCCCCTGGGGGGATGATTTCTCACTTTTTGTCCTTCTGTCTCTCTTTGGCGAGTGCATGCACCCTATAGCAAAAATCTCTCTTAAAAACTCTCCCCTTCTTGGGTCCGGCAGGTGGTGTGGTGGTTAAGGGTGATGGACTCCCACATGGACGACTACAGTTCGAGTCCTGGATCTGGTGGCTTCCTTTCTCACTTTATCTCTCTCTCTCTCTCTCTCTGTCCCTCTCTGGTCAAATTCAAAGAAAGAAAAGAGGAAAAATTAAATCTTCCCTTCTGATGTGCAGCTAGGACAAGAACCAAACTAAAATTTCCAGCAGTCCTGTGTGGCCCTCTCCTCCACGTCCCTGCTTCACTCTTCCTAATTTCCTAATATTTGAAATAATGTTATCTGGGACCAGCAGTTAACGTAATGGCTATGTCGCTGGACTTCCACGTAGTCGACCGCAGTTCAAGTCCCGGACCCGGTGGCTTAAACTCACGCCGGGGGCCTGTGGGTGCGTGCGTGCGTGCCCAAGATCCTGAGAGGAGAACGGAGGAGAAGGGATTGCGGCGTGGCCATCCCCCCTGGGGGGTGATTTCTCGCTTTCTGTCTCTCTGTCTCTCTCTGTCTGTCTGGCAAGCACACGTGCCCTATAGCAAAAACCTCTCCAAAAAAAAAAAAAAAGAAATAATGTTATCTGTCTTGTTAGGAACACCACTAACCAAATACTGGGTTTCTCCTTCTGTAGGCAAGCTTCCTGAGGGTCTTATATTATGAAGCAGGTCTGGTTCAGGTGTATCTATCATTTAACCCCATGCGACTGAAACATTTCATAATGGAGAATAGCAAAATGTCTGAATTCTTCAGAGTATGTTTTTCATTAGTTTTATCCTGAACATTCTGAAAACTCAAGCTTTTGTACATTAGTGATTTTTGTCCCTTTGTGTGACTATGTGGCTCATCTCTCAGCAATTTTACCGATGTCTTTAAAAATGATGTTCGGTATATGGAAACATTTGTACCTATACATCAGGCTGAACTAAATGGCAAGAACTATTGTAAATTTCCAGAAAACAATTGTAAGAACATCACCAGTCCTTTAGGGGGCGCTCATGTCTTCTTTAATTTCTTGTTCAGGTTCAAGAGCAAACCAAAGAGCCTAGTAAGAATCCATTTATCAGGAAGAAACGGGCTCTGCTCTCTGAGCCATTCCTTCTTCGAACTGTGCAGCAGATCCCAGGAGTTGGAAAAGTTAAAGCTCCCCTTTTGCTTCAGAAGTTTCCAAGTATCCAGCAACTGAGTAATGCTTCCATCCAAGAACTTGAGCCGGTTGTCGGCCACGTGGTAGCCCAGCAAATCCATGCCTTCTTCACACAGTCTAGGTGATGGCTGGCCTCATGTCTACTGTGTTTTTGCCTTTAGACCACGATCTATAGGATCTTATTTTCAGATTTCAAAACCAAGGGCTGGCTCCATGGTATGGTGGTTAAGGCAGCCAGATCCCACATGGCCAACTCTGCCTTTCCAGTCCTGGCCCTGGCAGCTTGAAGAACATACTGGGTGCATGTGTCTGTGTGTTCCAGATCCCAGCAGAGTGGAGAAATGGAGGAGAAAGGATTGCGGCATGTCCTTGCACTGTTTGGGGAATACTTTTTCTCTCTCTCTGGCAAATTAAAAACCAAGGAAAAAAAGCTCACAGTGACTACAGAAAGATGAGGCCAGGCCACATGGAGCCTGTGAATTATCCTGTCTTGCTGTTGGGGTCCTGGCATGTAAGCATGTGGGCTGCAGGGGTGCAGCCTTCATCCCGCTAAGATGAAAAGAGCCAATGGGGGTTTTCCAAGAGAATCAGCAAAATGCCAGTTGGGGCAGATTCTAGTGTGTGACCTTCATCCGAATCTATCATGGAAAGGTCTTCTCCGGTTTGAGGTGGGGGATGTGACCATCCCAAGGAACCACAACTACAATGAAGCACTGTGTCTCCTAAGCCTTGTTCCTGGTGTCAGGGCTGTTGTTTTTCAGGTCCGTCTTCCCATGCTTATGCTTTGAGGGCTGCTGCCAATGTAAATAAACAATTGTACACCAGTTCCTTCCTTCATGCCTTTGTTCATTCTTTCCTCCCCTTTATTTTTGTAGCCCTACCGTTTGTTTATAATCACTCGACATGTTTCTGAGCACAAAGCCTGGAGTCTGAGGTTACGTGTTACATATTAGAAGAAAAAAAGACCGTGTTTATTTAGCTATGTCCCAACAATGGGAAGCTACACAAGAAACGATAGGACAGCTGCATCCAGTAAGAGGAGCCAAGGGTTAGGGATCAGAAAGGACCATTGCCCATTCAAAAAAACAAATACAAGCCCAGCCTGACAGTGCAGGCTGAACTGCAGGGCTGAAGTCACAAGGCCGACCCATTGGTTCAGATCCTCAGGTCAGCCTGGAAATAGGCAAGCCCAAGATCCTGAGGAGACGGAGAGTTGGGGAAAGGAGATCACACCATAACAAAACCCTGTTGAGGTTGCTTCTCTTTTGCATGTGCATGCAGTACCATGAATAAAATACACAAAACATTAGGAAAAAAATAAGTAAGTACACCCCAGGCCAGTTGGTAGCATGGTGGTTAAAGTGCTAGATTCCACTTGGCTGAATGCATGGCTTGCCAGGTGTGTGCGTGCATGCCCAAAATCCCAAAAGGAGGGACAGCAGATGGCATAGCAGTTACGTCATTGGACTCCCACATGGCCGACCACGGTTCAAGTCCCAGAACTGGTGGCTTCAAAATCATGCTGGGCACATGTGCATATATGCCCAAGATGCTGGGGGGAGAATGGAGAAGGGATTGCAGTGTGGCTATCCCCTCTGGAGGGCAGTGATTTCTCACTCCCTCTGTGTCTTTGTCTCCCTGTTCTCCCCCCACCATCCAGCACACACACCCTCAAGCAAAAATCTCTTTAAAAAAAAGAATGGAAAAGGGATTGTGATATAATCATCCCCTTTGGGGGTTATTTCTCACTTTTCCTCCCCACTTTGAGCTGATGTGCCCTGAAGCAAATTTAAAAATGAAGAAAAATGGCCCAAACTTGGGGCCAGTGGATGGCATAGCACTTGCATTCCTGGATTCCTACAGGCTGGCTGCGGTTCTAGTACCAGACGCAGTGACTTGAAACACCCTGGGCACGTGTGCATGTGTGCTCAAGATCACAGGAGGATAATGAAGGAGAAGGAATTGCAGTGTGGCCATCCCCGGGAGGTGATTTCTCACTTTCCCTCTCTGTCTGTCTCTCCAGTGAGCGCACACACCCCAAAGCAAAAAACCTCTTAAAAAAAAAAAAAAAAAAAAAAGATGGCCCAGTTGTGATGATGCAGACAGGACTGACTGCAGTGGTAGAAGTCATTGTCAACTGAAGGCTTGGATCCTGAGTTGACCTGAAGACAGGCTGGGTGTGTGGCTGCCCAAGAGCTTGACAACCTGTAGAGCTGTGGGAAGATGATGGTGTGAGGAGACCCTGTTGAGGGCACCTATCTCTCTGTCTCTCATATGAATCCTCTCTCATGAATTAAAAAAACGGACCAGAGCCAGCAGGTGACATGATTAAGGTGCTGGATCCTACATGGCCGACTCTGCAGCTTAAAAACATGCTGAGCACATTTGCATGCATGCCCAAAATCCCAAGAGGAGAATGGAGGAGAAGGGATTGCAGTGAAGCCATCTCCCCTGGGGCGGGGGGGGGTGACTTCTTATTTTCCCTGTCTCTCTCCAGTGAGCACATGCACCCTATAGCGAAAAACTAAAAACAAATAAAAATGTTAAAAAGGGGGGGGGACCCTGGGGGCCCAGGTGGTGGCACAGTGGTAACACAACTGGAACTTCATGAGAAGGTCCTGGGTTTGAGTCCTGAAAAACTAGTGCATTCAAGGCTTGCACCCCCAGATCCAAGGCCCAGCTAGCAGCTGAGGCTAGGGATGGATCATGGTGAAAGGATCCTGTTGAGGGTGCCTGCCTTTCTCTCTTTGTCTCTCTCATGGAAGAAATAACAGAAAAAATTGCAAACACAGTTAAAGATGCCATATGTTTTAAAAGATACTAAGATAACCTGAAAGCCTTTTAAACCCTGCTTTGTCAAATGTTAGTAATGTTCAAACACCAAACACAATAAAAACACTGTGCATTAGGGTAGAAGTCCTTTGAAAGAAGGAATTAAAGTGAAATAAAAGTGAAATATTAACTCAGGTATATGTGTTTATTTAAATACTTAAACAAACATGGCCTAGGAGCAGTGGATACACTTTCCCAAAGGTCGTTGCTTCCTGTAAGGTATTGCACAATAGAAAACATATAAATTCTTGTTAATTCTCAAAATTAGATCAGTTATATTTCTAAGCTATATAACTTATACTATGTCAACAGTGAGTCTTCCTATCACTGTGTCATCCAACGTAGAACAAGAAAAAAATCAGAACGTCATTTTAAAAAGTCAAACAGCTTTAAACTCGAATCGTGTACATGTTTACCTTATAAAATGTAAAAGTACTCGTCACCTAAGACTCTTAAAATATATAATTAAGTACTTTCTACTTTAAACAAAATGGAAAATGTTTTGAGTATCAAACAGTATATTATCTACCTTGTAGATAGCATCTTTATCTAACACTGCCACTGTGTTAGCAACTCTTAAATGACCTCGAGCTAGAAGAAAATCTGTTCTTAAAGTGTGTACGTCAGAAAATTTGGCACTGGACCTCATTTGGAAGTAGTACTCATGTAGAAATAATAGTAAAATCCTGTCGCTTTCAGTGAATGAATTCCTATTAGGAAGCAGCTTTTTGGAACAGTGTTTAGTCAGGCTAGTTCAATTCTACCATTACAGTCCTCTGACCTGCCTTAATTCAGGAGCCATCTGCACTGCGGGTTAAGGAATGATTACTACCCAAACCTGGAAACATAACAGTACCAATATAAATAACTCCAGTTTGACTCTGATCATGCCCGAAAGTCATAATGGTAGCCATTCAAAACAGCCATTTTTTTCGGACCCGCAGGTGCCTTGGTGGTTAAAGTGCTGGGTTCCCACATGGCTGACCATGGTTGGAGTACTGGACATGGCAGCTAGAAAATCACGCCTGGCACGAGTGTATATGTGCCCAACATCCCAGGAGGACAATGGAGGAGAAGGGATTACGGCATGGGCATCCCTCCTGGGGGATGATTTCTCACTTTGCCTCTATCTCTGGCGAGCACAAGCGCCCGGTGGCAAAAAAGAAACCTTAAAAAAAAGAAAAGCCGTATTTTTTAACACTATTCTATTTACAATACTTCATATAATAAATAACTTGCAGCAATATAGTGACATTCCTCAAGTTTCTTTTCCACAAGTTTCTAGAGATTTCTTGTTGCATCCATTTACAAAGAAAAAGCAAATGCAAGTTTACACTGTGAGAAAACTGGATTCGACACTACTTCACTATTTTCCAGTATGGCACCCATTTTAAGGCCTAGTCATCCCGCGAACATCGGTGTCCCTCCATGTTAGTACAGAGAACTGTCAGAGTTGAGCAGGCTGAAAGGAGAGGGGAGCTTCTTTTTGACTTGAGGCCTAGAGACCCCAACCGACGGAAGGCACAAGGTGCTGGCTGACTTCTGTCTGTTCTTGCTGGTGCCCCAGCTCAAGAAGGAGAGCTTTTTCGAGATCTTCTTGGTTTTATCGGTTTTATCATTGTCTTCTATGGCTAAGCAGATCATGGAGTAGGTCTTCTGCATTCCCACCGAGTATGTGGCACACTTATTATGCTGCACATGCAGAGAAAGGGAAGAAACGGGGTGTTAGAAGCCTTCGAGACACCTGCTACGGGATTACACAGTTTGAGATTCCCACTTCTCGTTTATAGGCCTGCCTTTTTCGTTTTCTTTTGTTGTTGCTATCGGGTGCATGTGCTCACCAGAGAGACTGAGTGAGAGAGGGAAAATGATAATCCCTACCCAAGGGAGATGGGCAATCCGCAATCCCTTCTCCTCTATTCTCCTTTTAGGATTTTGGACATGCAGACACGTGTCCGTGATTTTCAACTGCTGTGTCCAGGACTCAACTGCAGCATCAGCTATGTGAGATGTGGCCACCTTAACCTCCACGCCACCTGCTGGCCCCTCCCCTTTTTTTGTTTTTAATTTGTTATAGGGCACCTGGACTCACTGAAAGGAGACAGAGAGAGATTAAGAGAGAAAGGGAATGGGACCAACAGATGATGTGTTGGTTAAGGTGCGAACTCCCACATGGCCAACCACAGTTCAAGTCCTGGACTCAGTGGCTTGAAAATTACACCAGGCTCATGTGGGTTCGTGCCCAAAATCCTCAGAGAATGGAGGAGAAGGGATTGTGGCATGGCCATCTCCCCAACAGGGTGCATTCTCATGTTCCCTCTTTCTGTTTGTCTCTATCTCTCTATGGCAAGCACATGCACCAGATGGCTAAGACTTAAAAAAAAAAAAAAAGAGAGAAAGGGAATGGCAGAATGGGATCCAGCCACCTAAACCACCACGCCATGGGCTGGTTCCCCCTTTAACCAGTTTTAAGTGTACCGTTCAATGGCACTAAGTACATTCACCCTGTTGTGCAAACATCACCACCATCCCTTTGCAGAACTTTCTCACCATCCCAAAAATCGAACTCTGCACCCATTAAACATTACTATTAACTTTGGAAGGATTATGCAAGGTGTAGATAGAACATCTGGAGAGGGAACATGTTTCTGAACATTTCCATGTGGGTTTTCGCCTGTTCCCAAGGCTTGCCTAGCACTGTGATTGTTTGGTTCACTAAATATTTATTGAACAGCTACTGTGTTCCAGGTACTAAAATCAAGCTATTTAGAGTATATACGTGGTCTTGAAAAATATTTGTGGAAAATGCATATTATAAAAAAAGCTATGCATAGATTTCAATGTTTTGGGTTTTTTTTTTCCCACCAAAATAAACTCATACTTTAATGCTACTTCTTCATATCTTTGCAAACAATTTTTTTGTCAGGAGTGTATGCAATGACCAGAGACAGAGAGACAGCAAGAGAGAGAGAGATAGGGAGAGTGCACACCCCAGTGGGGCACAGTCACGCCACAATCCCTTCTCCATTTCTCCATCCTGTCAGGATTTGGGACACACATGTGGACATACCCAGCAAGTTTTTCTAGACACCAGGGCTGGGATTCAAACCAAGGTTGGCTATGTGGGATCTGGCTCCCTTAACCAGCAGGCTCTGGGGCTGGCTGGCCCTCTCCACTAACATTATGCAGACCGACCCCTCACATACATATGATAAAGCTAAAGTGGTTGAGTACATTGTTCTTAATATAAATGTTCAGAGGAATCCGAGGTATGCAGCAATAAAGGAAGGTATTCACTGTAAAACACTCCTAGAATTTGGCTCCTTAGAATGAAGGTGCCACTCCCTTTTCTATAAAACTGACAATTAATCCCAGCAGGCTTCTTAGTGCACACATGCTGTCCTTTCAAACAGTAAGACAACAAACGTCCAGGAGGTAGCTTAAGGCTTGCAAACATTTTCCAGCCTTAACCTGCTTACAGTCCATTGTGTATTAAGACAACCACTTCCTTTCCAATGCACTCCACTCTTCCACACTCCTCCGGGAAAACATCAGCTCTAGTTCAGCTCCACCCTCTGCCTCCCCCAGGCCCACATCTGACCAGCTGGGCAACCAGCTATGCATGGCTGACAATATTGTCCAAGGCTGGGATCAGCAGATGGCATAGTGGTTACGTCACTGGACTCCCACATAGTCGACTGTGGTTCGGGTCCCGGACTCAGCAGTTAAAAACAGTACTCTGTTGTCCTTATCTAAAGTGCTTCCTGGGTAAATAGGAGTTTTAAGGGCAACTGAAAATTCACACAAGATGTGTGTGCATGCATGCTCAGGATATCGAGAGGAAGATGAAGAAGGGACTGCGGCATGGCCATGCCCCTGGGGGGGTGATTTCTTGCTCTTTGTCTCTCTCTGTCTCTGGTGAGTGCACGTGCCCTATAGCAAATATCTGTTTAAAAAAAAAATTGACCAACACTTCCCCTGAAATTCTAACTCTGGCCCCAAACCTCTAATGGCCACCCCGTTTCCTGGCACTCCTGTCTTTCCCCGGTAATTCATTGCCTTTTCTCCAAGATACCTGGCTCATCCCTTTTCTTCCCTCCTCGAGCCACTCATCTGCTTTCCTGATATCCTTGCTTAAAAATGCAACTGTCCCCCCAAAGACTATGCCCTCCTTTGTGCCCAGATCCCACTCCCCCTCGTTTCTGCATTTCTGTCTCTCAGACCTTTATCATCCACATGTAAGCTTGCTCTGGTATGTACACACACACACACACACACACACACACACACGCTTGCATGCACATGTGCACACACACCTAGAAAAAGCCTTCCTTGACTCTGTACCCCCACCCACGCCCGCCTCAGTGTCTCTATTCCCTTTAACAAGCACTCCTTTCCTCCTCTCCCGTTCACTATTTTATCAGCCTTCATCCAGCCCACTCCCTACCACCCTCTTCCCGAATCTTCATGGGGCACCCCTCGAACTCTTAGTGCCCCATGGAGCCCCGCTTGAAACCACTCGGGTTCTATGGAGGGGAACTGGGCCCAGGAAGGGTATGACTTGCTAACAATCACACAGCTTGGTAAATCGCTGTCAGGGCCTGATTCCAGATGCTTCCCATTATAGCAGTCATTTTCCAAATGCGCTCCATGGACGAACTCTGGGGTCCCGGCTACAGCCAAGACAGTAACCCAGGGTGGCAGGTAACACAGGGGGCACTAGGCTATATTTGTTCTCAGGACTGAACTTTCTTTGAAGAAAAGGCTCAGCAGTTAAAAACTGTCCTAAGTCCACTGTCATGACCTAAGTCCTTCCTGGGTAAACGGGAGGACCACCATCACGGCTGCTAACGGATCATGCCTACTAGGAACCGAGATACAGCCTCGCTTGATAGAAGGGCTTTACATAAAGTCAGTTTATCCTGAGGCTCCAAGCCTGACCTTGACTTGCCAAAGGCCACACAGCTGGTGGATCTTCACGTGAGGGTGTAGACCCAGACAATCTGAGGGTACACCCCCGAACTCACACATCAGTTCATGAACTGTCTAGAGGAGTCTCACCGGCTCCCGACATTCTACCACACTCCTCGATTTCTTTTCCTTGGGGCAGTTATCAAAATAACAACCCTGGGGCCAGCAGGTGGCATGGTGGTTAAGGCTGGACCACGGTTTGATCCAGCAGTTTGAAACTCACACGGGGCATGTGTGCCTGTGTGCCCAAATCCCATAGGGAGAATGGAGGAGAAGGGATTGTGGTGCTGCCACGCCCCTCCCCAGGGCGATTTCTGTTTCCCTCTCATTATCTTCCTCTTGTCTCTCCGACAAGTGCACAAACTCTATGGCAAAATCATAAAAAAGAAAAAAAAAAAAAACGACACCCTGCAGGGTCAGCAGTTGATGTAATGGTTATGTCATTGGACTCCCATGTAGCCGAGTGCGGTTTGAGTCCCGGACCCAGTGGTTTAAAACTCATACCGAGTGCGTGTGCGTGCGTGCCCAAGATCCCCAGAGGAGAATGGAGGAGAAGGGATTGCGGTGTGGCCATCCCCCCTGGGGAGTGATTTCTCGCTTTCTGTCTGTCTTTCCCTGTCTTTCTAGCGAGCACTTGCGCCCTATAACAAAAACTGCTCAAAAAACAAAAAATCACACCCTGCATTTGCCTATTTAGTGCCAACTTTGTGGGAGCAGAGACCTTCTCTGTCTAGTTCAAGCTGGAGCTCCAGCACCTACAAGCCCATGTGCACACAGATGGTGTTCCGTCAATATTTGTTGAATGAATAAATAAATGTTGTTACAGAGGGCAGTATCTAAGGTACATTATTAAGTGTGGCAAAGTGCAGAGAAGAACCTATGGTAGGATTCCTCCCACTTGGGGAAAAAAAATAAAGGCTAGAACTGTTCATGAGTTTGCAAAGTTTGTTTTCTCACAGGAAACAGCTAACCACGTCTGAATGTGGAGAGGGACTTCGACATGCCAGCTCAAGCTCTTTTGTATCAGTTAACCTTTTTTTTTTTTTTTTAAGAGAGATTTTTGGGACCAGCAGTTAGCATAATGACTATGTCTCTGGATTCCCATGCAGTCGACCACAGTTCGTGTCCTGGACCTGGTGGCTTAAAACTCATGTGGGGTGCATATGCGTGCGAGCCCAAGATCCCAAGAGAAGAATGGAGGAGAAGGGATTGCGGCGTGGCCATCCACCCTATGGGGTGATTTCTCGCTTTCTGTCTCTCCATCTCTCTCCGTCTGTCTGACAAGCACAGGCGCCCTAGAGCAAAAGTCTCTCCAAAAAAAAAAAAAAAGAGAGAGATTTTTGTTATAGGGTATGTGTGCTCACTGGGAAGACAAATAGAAAGTGAGAAATTATCCCTCAGGGGGAATGGCCATACCATAATCCTTTCTTCTTCATTGTCCTCTCAAGATTTTGGGCATGTACGCACACATGCCTGGCATGAGTTTTGTTTTTTTTTCTTAGAAATTTTTTGTATAGGGCACATGCACTCACCGGAAAGATAAAGAAATAGAAAGCTGTAAAAAAAAAACAAAAAACAAAAAACACCGTGAGCATGTATGTGTGTAAAAAAAAACAAAAAAAAAAAACACCGTGAGCATGTATGTGTGCACACCCAAAATCCTGATGGGATGGAGAAATGGAGAAGGGATTGCAGCATGACCACACCCCATTCGAGGGTGTTCTCCCTCTCTCTCTCTGTCATGTGCATACACCCTCTGGTAATTAAAGAAATAAAAAGAGGGCCAGCCTCGTGACCTGACGGTTATCAAGGGAGCCAGATCTCACATGGCCAACTAAGTGGTTCAAATCCTGGCCCTAGCAACTTGGGAAAAAAAAAAAAAAAAGCTAAGCGCATATGCATGTGTGCCTCAAACCCCAACAGGATGGAGAAATGGAAGAAAAGAGATTGCCCATTCCTTCCTGGGAGTGCTTTCTCCTCTCCCTTTTCCTCTCTCTGTCTCTCTGGTAAGCACACATGCCCTCTGAAAAATAACAAATAAACACATACATACATCCATGAGTTTTCCAATGATCTCTTTGGCCAAAGGTGAGCACATTCCAGTAGTTACAAGGTTAGGAGTTCAGAGTTCAGTCATTTGTGTCCCGTTGTGTAGGTGGGAGGGCAGAGAGCTGTAAAGACTCTGGGCTAAACTCCCACCAATATCGCTCCCCACTACTATTTACTGACAGGGGTGGGGCGTGTGTGTGTGTGTGTCAGCACTCACCATGGATGACGACGAGTCCAGGAGGCTCACGACCTTCATCTCGATCTCCTCCTCACCAAAGCCCTTCAGTAGCTTCAGAACCTCACTCAGTGTCAGCCACTTACAATCCACGCCTTGAATGGAAACAATATAATCTCCTTCCTTGGCTCCTGCCAGCTATGAAAGTATTGTTGAAAGAAAGGTCAACGTTTTTTTTTTTTCACTTGAATCGCTGAATCAGTTCCCAGACTCATTAACAAAGCTGACATTTGCATAAACTTACTTCAAGAAAGTAAAAATAAATCCTTTCCTCTCTGGGCACGAAGCAGATATGAAGCCTGTCACCTAAAGTGAGGCCTTTCACTTAGGCGAACCCGACACTCAGTCACCCAGATACTGGTATCCGGGTCGCTTCCTCTGTGTTTTCCCGGCCTGACTCAGTGCACAGCTACCAGGAGGTTTGCTCCCAACCCAGAATGGTGGATACTCACCGCAGCTGAGCTGTAAGGATCCAGAAAGTGGACTTGCACGGGGGCGTTCCCTCTCAAGGTGAACCCCAAGTCATCTTCGTCTTCGGTGAAGCGAATGCTGCGAGGAGGTGTCCACCTCTTGTTGGCCGAAAACACAGATAAGGGGCCCTTTGGAGACAGAATCATTGGGTGTGGGATGTGACGGCTGGACCAGACATTTGAAAGCTAAAGGGAATTTTACCCGTTAACCTTCAAGATCTACCTGACCTTTCTTTTTACTTTTCTTTTTTTTTTTTCTCCTAAATTGAGGGCGTATACGCTCATTAGAGGGAGACAGAGAAAGAGAGGAAGAGGGAGAAAACACCTCCAGTGGGGTGTGGTCACAATCCCTTCTTTTCAGTGTCTCTCCATCCTGTTAGGAGTTGGGCATGCATGGATATGTACCTAGTGTGTTTTTTAAGCTCCGGGGCCAGGATTTGAAACATGGTTGGCTATATGGGATCCAGCTTCCTTAACTTTTATGCCATAGGCCTGTTCATTCGTTTTCTTTCTCTTTCTTTCTTTCTTTCTTTCTTTTCTTTCTTTCTTTCTTTCTTTCTTTCTTTCTTTCTTTCTTTCTTTCTTTCTTTCTTTCTTTCTTTCTTTCTTTCTTTCTTTCTTTCTTTCTTTCTTTCTTTCTTCTTCCTTCCTTTCCCTTCCTCCCTTTCTTCCTTCCAGATTTTCGCTATGACATAGTTCTCCTGCTTCAGCCTTCTAAGTAGCTGGGACTACAGGCACATGCTTTTTAGGGTGTACTGGGAATCAAAGCCAAGCCTGGGTGGCTGCAGTCTGCTGAATGGCAGCACCTAGGAGCGTGCTAGGTTAGGCCTCTCTAGGTTAGGCCTCAGAGACCACTCATGCCACTGGAGCATCACGTGCAACAGCATCATACGAGAACATGAAGTGTCCTTTTCTTTAACACTGCCAATGTGTTTAAAATAACATGATCTTTTATAAATGAGCTCAATGAAAATTATTTTCAATAAAACCTTTAACTTAAAAATCTAAACTAGCAGGGACTAGTTGGTGGCATGGTGGTTAAGGCACTGGATTCCCACATAGCAGACTGAGGTTCGAGTCCCAGACCTAGCGACTTGCTTTCTCACTTTCCCTCTCTCTCTCTTGAGCACACACACTCTGTAGCAAAACTTTAAAAAGTAAAACTAATAATTAATTAAATAAATAAATACTAATCTAAAATACCTAAAAATAACTTTTTTTACATATGCTCTGCTCTGAATGTATATGTCTCCCCAAAACTGTGTTAAAACCAAATCACCGGGGAACCAGCAGTTAGCGTAATGGCTATGTCTCTGGACTCCCACGTAGCCGACTGCGGTTCGCGTCCCGGACCCAGTGGCTTAAACTCACGCTGGGCGCGTGTGCGTGCATGTCCAAGATCCCGAGAGAAGAATGGAGGAGAAGGGATTGCAGCGTAGCCATCCCCCTGGAGGGTGATTTCTCGCTTTCTGTCTCTCTGTCTCTCTCTGTCTGTTTGGCGAGCGCACGCGCCCTATAGCAAAAACCTCTCCAAAAAAAAAAAAGAAAGAAAGAAAACCAAATCACCACTGTGATTATTAAGAGGTAGGGCCTCGTGAGAGGTGACTGGGTCACAAGGACAGGTAGAGCCCTCATGAATGGGATCGGCGCCTTTATAAAACAGGCCCACGGAGGACCACATGCCTCTTCCATCATATGAGGACACAGCCAGAAGGCACCATCTCTGAACCAGAAAACACACCCCTCGCCGGCACCAAATCCACCAGGGACTTGATCTTGGACTTCCCAGCCTCCAAACAGTGAGAAAGAAATTTCTGTTACTTATAAGCCACCCAGCCTAGGATATTTCGTTATAGCAACCCAAATGAACTAAGACAACATATGTGCAAAAAGTTGTCCCCTGAGGACATTTATAAAACAGGCATTCAACGCACCAGTTTCTGGAAGAAGTCCGTTACTGTCACCTTGGAGAACTGTGGCAATATAATTTCAACCTCTTGCTCAGTTTTGGCTAGAAAAGAAGATGAGAGATGGAAAGATAAATGTTTTTGTCATTAAAAGGCATCTGTGAAAACTCACGAGTTTATAGTCTCTGCATGGAAGACAAAGCAACATTTTCTCCTGGTCACTTGTCTTTCCCCTTGGCTTAGAGAAGCCAAAGAGAAGACAAGATATGGCTCAGCCCCTGGCCCAGGGTGGACTGTACCTTCCATGCGGGTGCCCACTATGAGCCATAAGCTGTTCTGGGCTGAGGCAGGGTAGTGACAGTCAGACACACTCCCACCTTCGAGGATCTTACTGATACTCTGGTGAACCTTCTTTGGCACACATAAAACCCCACAGAAGCTCCAGCTAATGTACAAGGCTGAGGCCACACGGAAGGCCCAGGTTCAGATCCCAGACCAACCTGAACAGCACACGCCTATAATCTAGCCAACTGGGAGGCCAGCGCAGAGGACTGCAAAGGCAAGACCCTGCCAGACAATAACTCTTCTGCCTCCCCTCCTCCTCCCCTGCTCACTTGAGCATGTGCACATGCTCTTTCTCTCTCTTCTCATAGGAAAAGAAAGGAAAGAAGGAAGGAGGGAAGGGAGAAACGCTCTCCTGAGAAGTAATCTGTATTTCAAGTGGCATTGTAATGGCAGATCTGTCTCTCAGCACACAGACCTGTGCCTAATGTGCTTCCAGTTTTCTTTTTTTTTTTGGGGGGGGGGGGTTTCGCTATAGGGCGCGTGCACTCGCCAGACAGACAGAGAGACAGAAAGCGAGAAATCACCCCCCAGGGGGGATGGTCACGCCGCAATCCCTTTTCCTCCATTCTCCTCTCGGGATCTTGGGCATGCACGCACACGCGCCCGGTGTGAGTTTTAAGCCACCGGGTCCAGGACGCGAACCGCAGTCGACTACGTGAGAGTCCAGCAACATAGCCATTACGCTAACTGCTGGTTCCCCTGGTTTTCCTTACTAACGTGTGACTTGAAGATTTCATAGCGAGAGGTGGGTTTGCCAGTCAAGTCCATTCATCATTATGAATCTCCACCCGTCTCTTCACAGTAGGCTCAGGCCCACCCTGAACAAAGGCTAGTCAGTTTCTAACAAAGGACCCGCTTTTGTTTTTTAAGGTTTTTGCCTTAGGGCACGTGCTCCCTAGAGAGACAGAGACAGTGCTCCTTCATTCTCCTCCCGGGATCTTGGGCATACACACACATGCTCCCAGCAAGAGTCTCAAGTCACTGGGTCTGAGACTTGAACCGTGGTTGGCCATGTGGAAGTCCAGTGATGTAACCACTATGCCATTTGCTGGCTCCAGAGCAGGCAAATTATACATGAACAACAGTATAAAAAGAAATAGAGGGCCAGCAGGTGGCGTGGTGGTTAAGACGCTGAACTCCTACTTGGCCAACTGTGGTTAGAGTCCTAGAGCTGGCGGTTTGCTTTCTCACCTTTCCCCTCTCTGTCTCTCTCTAGTCAAATTAAATAATAATAATAATAAATAAATAAAATGCACAATTCTTATTTTTTAAAAGAAAGAGAAATAAGAGAGCCAGCCAGTAGTGTGATGGTTAAGATGGTTGTATGGGACCAGCAGTTGGCGTAATGGCTATGTCGCTGAACTCCCATGTAGCCGACCGCGGTTTGAGTCCCGGACCTGGTGGCTTAAAACTCACGCTGGGCGTGTGTGTGTGTGTGTGTGTGCCCAAGATCCTGAGAGGAGAATGGAGGAGAAGGGACTGCAACGTGGCCATCCCCCCTGGGGGGTGATTTCTTGCTTTCTATCTCTCTTTCTAAAGTCTCTGTCTTTCTGGCGAGTGCACACACCCTACAGCAAAAATCTCTCAAAAAAAAAAAAAAGATGGTTGTATCCCACATAGCCAACTATGCAGTTTGAGTTCCAGACCCAGCAGACTAAAAAAATACATCAGGCACATGTGTATACATGCCCAACATCCCAAGAGGAGAACGGGGGAAAAGAGACTGCAGAGTGGCCATTCCCCCGAGGGTTGATTTCTCACTTTCCCTTTCTCTCTAGGGAGTGCACATGCAAACTAGGACAAGAGAAAAATAAGGAAATTGAACAACAATATAAAAAGGCGATTTAGGGACGGAGAGCTGGCACCACAATGCAGGTCACTCCCCTCTATGCGTGAGATGATGACCCTGTGCTTCTTGCAAGCCCCAGAACAAATGCTGGGTTCCCCCAGAGTCCCCACCTGCTACCAGATGTGCTGTCACCTGGAGCTGCCCATCTGTGTCCTCTGTGGAGTCCCAGTCTCTGGCTCCTGACCTTCTTTGGGGTGATGGCAGAGGTGACTACGGTGTCCATGGAGGTGACTGCGGTGACTACGGTGTCACAGAGGTGACTACGGTGTCCATGGAAGAGACACCCCAAGGGCTATGCCTGTCACCTGGGGCAGACCTTGATCTCTCTAAGCCTTTATTTCCTCACCTAGAACACGAGGGCAGCACTAGGCCTCCCCCATAGCACCGGAGGAGAGCTGAATGAGATTCTATATCCATGCGATGCCAATTTGGCAGAGCCCAGAAGCTCCAGGGATGTCACCTAACATCACTACACGCAAGCCAGGTTTAGTCTGAGCAGGGCCCTTTCTCTATGGAGCTAGTTCTGAAAATTCAGATGGAGCTCCAGAGACTGGGACAGAGGCATAGGGAGTAAGAGGGGGGCCGGGGGGGTGCAGTAAGGAAGAAGAGATCAGGCCACCTTCCGTCCCACACCCCTCATTCCTGGAAAGACCCTAAATCATTCCTCACTATAAAGCCACTTCTCAAGGGTGGCCCTCTCACTCTCGCCGTCAGGCAGAAGTGACCACCACCTCCCCGAGGGCAGAAACTACTGTCTAGTTCACCTCTGTAATCCTGGCCCCACGACAGTGCTCAGCACCCGGGAGAGCCTTCGAAATGGTGCTGGTGGTGATGAAACAGAGAGGATAGGGGGACAGAACAAGCCTGGGGGAAGAAATCAGGATGCATCTGGCTCTCAAGCCATGCAGCTGGGGGAAGACGGACAGCAAAGTGCGGTTTCCCAGAGGCAACTGGAAACGTGAGTGGGTGTGGAGTCCAGCAAAGATTTCAAGGCAAAAGGTCAAGTTCCAGGGGTCTCCTGAACTGGGGTAATTGCTAAAAACCCCAAAGAAGGTCAGGAGACTTTCTGGAAAGGGACCTAAAGAAGGCAAATCAGAGAGGGTAGACCCTTAGCAAATGCCAGTGGGTGGGACTGAGCAAGAGGACAGATAGCGCAGGGGACAAGAGGGATTGATTGGGGACATGAGAACAGAACCAGCACAGGGGGGCACCCTGACGCCAAGGGACAAATGGCAGGGCATGAGGGGAGCCAGATGCTGCAAAGGGGGTCCAGGAGGATGAGACCCCAAAGAAGCCCCTGGATTTGGGAATGAAGAGATAACAACTCTGGGACAAGAGCCATCCCTTGGTCCCGCCCCATGCAGCCCTTCATCCCCCGAGCCCAGAAAATAGGGAGGGCTTGCCTGTCCCTGTAGGGTGAATGACTCAAGGCTGTGTTTCCCGGAGTGCCCCTGCCCACATGCAGAGCACGCAAAGCACACTGAGCACGGCCAGGCACGCACACGACAGGCACATGGACGAGGTCACTCACAAACAATGTCGGGAGCGTCGATCAAGTTCAGAAGGTCGTCGGCCTCTTGGTGCCGGGCATACTTGAGCCGAGAGCGCTGGTGGGCGGCGGATAGCACCTCCTGCAGCACCTCGATGTTCCGCAGCTTCTTGCACAGGCTGGCCTCCCTCACAGACTCCTCGTGGTGGGTAATAGCTCTGCGCAGGTGCGACTTGCCTGCAGACGGGAAACCACCGCCCACGTGACCCCTGACTCCATCCAGGATGGCCAAGGGCCCAAGGATCGACCAAGAAGGTGGACATTCTCTTTTCATAAGGATGTGCCCAGACAGCCTAAACCTCATGTTCTTATTTTTTTTTTTCCGGTTAAAAGAATTATTTTATTTATTTGTTTGGTTGGTTGTTTGTTTGTTTTAATTTGCTATAGGACCTACGTGCTTAACCAGAGATAGAGAAATAGAGTGAGAGAGGGAAACGGAGATAGCAAGTTGCCAGGTCCGGAACTCAAACTGCCATCAGCCATGTGGGAGTCCAACACCTTAACCATCATGCCACCAGCTGACCCCAGCCTAAGCCTCTCTTAAATACACGTGTAATGTGGATGCTTAATGCCAACAGGGGCTGGAGGGAGTGACAGCAGGAGAGAAGGGGAGGAGATGGGGTCAGAGAGGAGCAAGGTTCATGGCTGATCTTAGAAGTGCAGGGTGAGGACTCACTCCTACTCTGGGCGAGATGGGGACCGCCATGGTGTGCGCTGAGGACTGACATGATCTGACCCACAGAGTCAGACTCCGAAGGAAAAAAAGGACGCAGGGAGACCAGCTCTGAGCTGGACAAGCCAGGTGGCCTCTATGGGCCTGTAAGACAGGGGTCATGTCAGACTATCTCAGGGGCTGCATGAGGTTTAAACACTCACTGAACACCTGTGGCCTCAACTAGGGCAGTAGGGTAAGAAGGGGTAGGGTTTGATTTACTAATCAAATATGGAGTGGCCCCGTCTAAGCCTGATGGCCTCCGTGCCTGCAAAAGACAAGAGTAGAGCAGGAGGTCAAGGGTTCTGGCCTAAGCACCTACAGAATGGAGCTGCCATCACTGAAACGTCGGAACCGTGTGTGTGTCTGTGTGTGTGTGTGGGCAGGGGAGTAGAGGAAGAAGGCCCTGCACATGGAAAGAGAGATTATAGAGACATGGTGAGACTGAGTCAGGACAGTTCATCACTAGTATTACACTAATCTTAGTGATGGTGAAATAAGAAACTAACCAGGGACCAGCAGATGATGTAGTGGTTACATCGTTGGACTCTCACGGAGTCGACCTTGGTTTGAGTCCCAGACAGGGCAGGTGTGCGTGTACATCAAAAGTTCAGAGAGGAGTATGGGAGAGAAGGGACTATGGTGTGGCCATCAGCCCTGGGGGATGATGTCTCACTTTCTGTCTCTCTGGCAAGCACACACGCCCTATAGCAAAAATCCCTCCAAAACAAAACAAAAACCAAGAAAACCAACCAACGCATCCTGCCACCTTGGACTGGCAAGGGCCACACCACAGACCTCTAGGGGCTGGGAGGTGGTCGGAGCCCTGGCTCCACAGTGGGAAGCCTGGATATTCTTGGGCCTTTGAGAACACAGCCCTGGCAGCTCTCCGAGACTCGAGAATCGTGCCTCAAGAATTTCTGAAGCCAAGTGGCTGTGGTGACTCCAGACATCCTACTTTTCCAAGGCAAGCCCCGGGGACTTGACTGGGGTCATCCAGGAGTAGGGCCAATACGCACCCAGTTGTTGGCGCTGAGGATCGTTTTTCAATGTGGCCAAGGGCGTCAATCCCTCCGGCATGTGGTCATAGAGCTGGGACAGGCACTTCTCCTGGTGGTCCTCATCTGCGCCTGGCTTCACTGCAATGACAGTTGTAGGTGACAACCCCTCCCATGGATGTAGCCACAGGCCCCATGTAGAGACTTTCTCTTTCAACTCCATCCCTAGGTTTCTTTCTTCTCCGGGTTTACAAGGCCCATTTTGGACTTAAACTGTGGTCAACCATGTAAGAGTCTAGTACCTTAACCACCACGCCACGTGCTGGCCTACAAGGCCCATTTGGGATAAGGGATCTCCTTTCCATCTCTGGACACACTCCCCCACGGTGGAGCCACCCATCCTCCAGGGTTTCCTGATTTGGCCCTGAGCCCCTGAACACTACCTCCTCCATGTGGCCCACCCCGAAGAAGCTCCTAGCATCCCTCTGACGCTGCGCTGCGAGGCCCAACCTGCACAGCATGATGGCTTCCAAGTCTGCAGAGGCCCTGCCCCAGCCGCAGAATGCCCTGAGCCTCCTGGCATGCCTCCTCCTCTCAAGCTTCTCCAAACCACTTGCCAGGACCGCAGTGCTCCCAGCCTCTGCTCCTGCGCTCACTACTGTCCTCTCCCTCCTTGTTCGGCTGGAAAAGCCCACTGTGAATGTCAGTGCCCGAGAAACCTCCAGGACCCCACCAGGAGTCCAGCCACTGCGCCTTGTCTCTACAGCGACCACCGAAGACTATACTTCCAGCCCTTTACCCACCCTGTCCCACTGAAGACAGTATAATACGGGGCGTGGCAGGTAACCCGTTCAGAGAGGCGACCACATACAAGGCACTATTTAGCTCTGAATACAGGCCCTCTGAATACAGAGCCTTGGTGTTCACAACAGCCCAGAGAAATTCCCTTCATATCCCCCATTTTACAGATGAAGAAACTGAGGCAGAAAGTAGTTAAGTAACTTGCCCAAGGTCACACAGCTAGTTAATGGCCGAGCTGAGATAAGAACCCAAGCCGTCTGGCTCCAGAGACTGCCCCTTTAATTATTTCGGGGGCTGCCACGATTAGGACTAATTAGATAAAAAAAGAAAACAGCCCCACTTCTAGATTGAGGTCAGCCCGAGGGTGAGGCAAGTGAGGCACTTGCCTTGGGCTCGACATTTAAATGGATGCCAAAAACTCAGTAAACAAGATATGTAATATTTTTTATGCAATTTCGTGGACACCAAAACGAATGCAAAAAAAGCCCATGATGAATAAAACATCCAAATTCACTTTGCCTCAGGCTCACATATGATTCAGCACAGATCGGTTACTTACCCCTGCTTTTCATTAAAATTTTGATCATCACAGTGTTTTGTTTTGTTTTGTTTTAGGTTTTCACCATAGGGCATGGGTGCTCGCCAGAGAATGAGACAGACAGATGCAGAGAGAAGGAAAGTGAGAAATCATCCCCCAGGGGAAGGTGGCCACACTGCAATCCCTTCTCCACTTTCCTCACGGGATTTGGGGCACGTGTACACATGCAAGCTCTGTGTTTTTCAAGTCACCAGGTCCGGGACTCGAACTGTGGTTGACCATGTGGGAGTCCAGCACCTTAACCACCACATCCACCTGCTGGCCCCCACCACAGATTTTTTTGCATTCATATAATTAATTTAAAATACTGCTTTAAACATGTTACTTATCACTCTTTTTAAAGTTTATTCACTTATTTCTTCCATGAGCAAGAGACAGGGAGACAAAGAAGCCCACTCTATAGGGGCTTCACATCCAATCCGCCTCAAGTCTCAGCCAGCCTGGACTGCAGGCATGCATGCCTGGTGTGCTCAGGGAGGTCCTGGGACATGAGCCCAGAACCGAATTTCCTGTATGAGTCCAGTTGTGTTACCACTGATCTCGATTACTGAGGTTTTGGGCTCTCCTCAGATTTCAGATTCCAGATGAAAAGTCATCTGCTGGGACCAGCAGTTAGCGTAATGGCTATGTCGCTGGACTCCCATGTAGTCGACTGCAGTTCCAGTCCTGGACCTGGTGGCTTAAACTCATGCCAGGCACGTGTGCGTGCATGCCCAGGATCCTGAGAGTAAAATGGAGGACAAGGGAGGGGATGATTTCTCGCTTTCTGTCTCTCTGCCTCTCTCTCTCTTTCTGGTGAGCGCATGCACCCTATAGCAAAAACCTCTCCAAAAAAAAAAGAGAGAGAGAGAGAGTGAAAAGTCATCTGCTTAACCCAGAGAGAAGTAGTTTCCCCTTCTCTCACCCACAGCTGTGTGCCATCTGTCTGGGTCAACCTGCCATTCTCACCCTCTGTCTTAGGCTGTGAGCACCTCCCCGCAGGCAGGCAGCGGTCACTCAGCTCAGAATTCCCTCGAGCAGCTAGACTACAACCCTCGCCAAGCCCCAGAGACTCTGAGCCCCAAGCCTTACACTGGTGGTCGATGAGGAGAGTGGCGGTGAAGTAGTGGGCCAGGGCACTGTAGTGGTGAGCCTTCACACAGGCCAAGCTGGCCCAGGAGTAGGGGATGTTCTCCTTCACGGGCGCCTGGCTCATGGCCGTGTGCAGCTGCCGGTAGACCTCTCCCACCTGAAACAGAAGGAACATTGGGAAGGGGAAGCCCAGCACAAAGGCCCTCGTGAACCCGGCTGCAGAAAAAGGAACCTTTCTTCTAAACAGTGGGATAGCAGCCCTGCAGGGGGCGGCTCCAGAAACTGGGAGCAACTCCAAGCAATTCTTCAAGCTGCCAGCGTCCGAATTAACAGGGGGGTCGGGCAACTGCCATTTACGCTGGTTTTTAGACTAAGTCGCAGATGGAATCAGTGACCCGGATCTGAAACTTTGATACTTGCCAAGAAAACACAAGCCAGCAGCCCCAGCCGGGACAGGCATACTGCCCAGGTCACGGGCAAGCTGCCGTGGGAAGCCACGGCTGCCTCCAGTGCACCTGCACCCACAGAGCCTGCCTCCACCCCCAGGCCACAGGAACCAGGGAGCTTTACCTTGGCAGCCTCCTGAGCCACCTTCACCAGCATGAAGAACTCGTTCCGGATCCCAGGGAGGCTGATTTTCTCAAACACGCATTCCTGGGCTTGCGCGAGCATCATCTTGACGAGCACGCTGAGCATGGCGGGGCTCATGTCGTAGCTCGGAGTGTGGGTAAACGTCTCCTTCAAGTAGTTTAAGACCCCTGAAATGGCCACATGTGGGCCCATTAGTAGAGGATCACCACTATTTCACCGTGCTGCTATGGAGGAGGACAGAAGCAAAAATACAAAACTGGTGGCCAGACAGGGGCGCAGCGGTAAACACCATACCACACCGCACCACACTGCACCGCAAGGCTGAGCCACCTGGGAGGGTTGCTGGTTTGTGTCCAGAGACCCCACAGAGCACACCAGGTATGAGAGTGCCTGTGATGCAAGCTGGCCGAGGCTGGGGAAGGACCCTGTCGGGGGCCCTCTGTCCTGCTTCTGTCTCTCTCGCTCTCGCTCATGGAATAAATAATAGATATATACATACATATCTAAGTGTATTTATATACACATATATACTGGGATGTTGGAAAACTCACAATGTATATTTTCTATACAAGAATGCATCACGACTTTCCAATGACCCAATATATCTGTGTGTATGTGTATATAAAACCTGCAGCATCTTTAAAAATGTAATTCTTGGGGCCAGCAGATGGCGTTAACGGTTACGTCACTGGACTCTCACAAGGCCGACACCGGCTTGAGTCCTGGACCCGGCGGCTTGAAACTTATGCCAGGCGCATGTGCGTGTGTGCCCAAAATTTGGAGAGGAGAATGGAAGAGAAGGGAGTGTGGTGTGGCTATCCTCTCTAGGGGTGATAATTTTGCTTTCTGTCTCTGCTTCTCCAGCAAGTGCATATACCCTATAGCAAAAATCCCTCTAAAGAAGAGGGAAAAAATGTAATTCTTGGGGCCAGCAGGTGGCATGGAGGTTAGGATGGCTAAGCAGTTCATGTTCCAGACCAGATGGCTTTGAAAATCATGGTAAGTGCATGTGAATGCCCCACATCCCAAGAGAACAATGGAGAACCGACTGCAGTGTGCCATCCCCCTGGGGGATGATTTCTTACTTCTCTCTCTCTCTCCCCCTGTCTCTCTGGTTAGTGTACATGTCCTATAACAAAAACTACCAAAAAAAAAAAAAAAGTAATTCTACTATATAGAATGTCCCAGCCATTCCATACCTAGGAGTGGAATTTAGTTAAGTGCCTGCTTTTTAGCTGTACACCAATACTCACGGTAGCATTATTCACAATAACCAAAAGGTGGAAACAACCCCGCGGACAGGCTCCATATATGGAGCTCTCCTCCTCCCCTCTTCTCCCTGAGGCCCAGCTCCTGGTCTAGTGGGGCCTCCTGAACATCTCGTGACCAGTCCCTCATGGCCAGGGCAGTCCCAGAGGCATACACCCCTCTCCCACGTACACATCCCCAGATCAGAGCCACGAGATGAATGTATAAGCTCTGGCAACTCTGCTAATCAATAATTTCACCGCTGTCAACCTCAAACAATGTAGGGAGGAACCAAATTCCTGCCTTGGGGACGGGAGCCTGTACAGATCTTGCAGCGATACATGTACCCTTTGATCTGTGCTACGTGTCACATGAGCCTGTGTTCGTGACAGCATGGAGCATTCTCTGGCTGGTCAGCAGCAGAGCTTCCCTAGTAAGTAAATGCACGTCTTTCGTGCTGGACCTCCAGCTGTGTTCTTTGGGATCTGTAAACATCATGGGCAAGCCCTCTCAGATGTAGGGCTTCCCCAAGACAAACACAAATGTCCTTCCATGGAGGGATGGCCTATCCATACAATAGAAAAATGTTCAGCCTTTTTTTTTTTTTTGGGAGGTTTTTAGGGAGCGTGTGCTTGCCAGAAAGATAGAGACAGAGAGAAAATGAGAAATCACCCCCAGGGGGGGATGACCACGCCGCAATCCTTTCTCCTCCATTCTCCTCTCGGGATCTTGGGCATGCACACACAAGCGCCCAGCGTGAGTTTAAGACACCGGGTCCAGGACTCGAACTGCGATCGGCTACATGGGAGTTCAGCCACATGGCCATTATGCTAACTGCTAAATGTTCAGTCTTAAGAAGGAAGGAAATGATGTCCCATACTACGGCGCCAATGAAGACACTGTGCTAAGTGAAATAAGCTTGTCATGAAAGGATAAGTGTTCTATGATCACATTTAGATGAGGTACCTGGAATAGTCAAATTCATAAGGACAGACAGTGAGTGGATTAGAGGTTGCCAGGGGTTGGAGGGAGGGGCATGGGCAGTTACTGTGTAATGAGTTCCAGGTTTCAGTTTAAATGATAAAAACGTTCTGGGGATGGGTAGCAGTGATGATTATTCGACGGGAATATACTTAATGCCATGGACTACAGTGAACTTAAAAATGGTCAAAATGGCAATACTGGGCCTGGCAGGTGGCATGGTGGTTAAGGATGTTTAACCTCATGGACGACTGTGGTTCGAGTCCCGGACCGGGCAGCTTGCTTTCTCTTGCTTTCCCTTTCTCCCTCTCTGTGTGTCTCTCTCTGACCAAATTAAAAAATAATAATAACAAATGGAATTAAATAATTTTTTAAAGAATTATCTATTTTTAAATGTATTTATTATTAATTTTTTTCACATAAGTTTTGCCAGAGACAGAGAGAGAAAGTGAGAAAGCAAGTTGCCAGGTCCAGGACTCGAACTGTGGTTGGCCATTTGGAAGGAAATTCCAGCACCTTAACCACGACACCACCCGCTAGCCCCAATAAAGACTTCTTAAGGAAAAAAAAAACAGAAAAGAACATTAACTGTCACAAGCAGTCACTGACAATCAGTCTGGAGCTGAAATATAATCTGTGACATGAATCCCATCCGACCAGTTCCTCCGGTTTTGCTGGGAACAGAAACTGCACTGCAGGAGCAGGGCCCCTGCCACAAGCTGTTTACTCCCCCAGGCACCCCCGTCCCAAGCTTCTGTCCATACCTTTGCCATCTTGGAGACAGGTCAGAAAGTGTGTCTGCTTAAGATAACTCAGAAAGAAAGATGAGTCCAGAGAAAGAGTTACAGCAAAGGAAAAGTGATTCCCACATGAAATCTTAGCACACACCATTTCATCCCAAGGGACCACTTTTTTTTTTTTTTTTTTTTTTTTTTTCCAAAGGGGA